CGCAAATCACTTAACCATTTTTTGGTTGTTTCCAATCGTCTTGCTATTATCGGCGTGGTTATGTATCCACTACTGGCGTTGTATCTTATCTGCATGGGGCCTTCATTAACTGGTATTCCATCTTTACTCAAATGTATTTGACTAAGATTATTATTTGCTAAATTCCATAGATTTTTTCAGGCTCCCTTTTGATGTTGCCTTGCTTCAAACAAAGCCCATAATGACTATATTTGGACAAAAAATTATTGACCTGAAATATGTTGTTCCATGTGAAGTTGTGGGTTCCCTTACTAAGCGTCATTGAAGCTATTTCTGTTTTTTGTATATGGATATTTTGCATTGGTTACGCTTAACGTGGCGTTGTGTGCGGCAATTACTGCTAGGTTTACTAGTATTTTAGCTACTTTGAAAATCATCTATTCAATGTAAATTCTATCTTTAAAACGTTTAATTGTTTAGGTTTATATATACAATATTACATTAAAATATAAAGATTTTAAGATTATAAGTTTTGATGAGACTTAATACAACCGAATAATACAGCTTAGTTTAGAGAACATTCAATTGTATAGATAGATATAAGAAGATGTGGTATGAGTGCCAATGAGACAACTCTCCATCCAAGTCAAAATTTATAAAAGTAAACCATTATAGGTCACAGTACGGTCTTCAACACGGAGCCTTGGCTCACACCGAACAGTAAGCTATAAAGGGCCCCAAAAAATTACTAGTGTAAAACCATTCAAACGGGAAAACCAACGGTCTAATCTATATAAAAAACGAGAAACGAGAAATACTTATGAACCACATCAACAAACGACAACTACTGAACATCAGATTCCTGACTTAGGACAGGTGCAAACAAATGCAGCGGGTTTAAACGTTTTAATGGTACCAAACCTTCACCCTTTTTCTGAAACAATAGTGTAACATCACAACATAGAAAGACACACTATAAAATCTCAACTGAAATAGCTTAACTCAATCAAAGGACATATTAACACCATTAAACATACACTGAACAAATAAATTTCACCTATGACACAATGTAAATACAAAATAAATAAACTAAGGGAAGAATAATAAAAGTAACATGTTATATAGGTAAGAAATGTTAAACAATTAAAGAAAAACAATATGCTCGAACAAAAATACCATCCATTTGCAATAACTTTAAACACAGGTAAATGAAAATAATTGTGTTGTTAGGTATACGTGTACAGTACCAATAGAGAAAGAAAATATTTTTACAAAATAAATAATTTAGGTTTATATACATCATTGCACAAAAGTTCACAGATTTAAAGAATATACATTATAACATCTTTAAAGTAATGATCTGCTTAGCGAGACATATTGTACAATGGAAGAAAAGTAGAAAAAAATGTCAAGAATTTGAGGGTTGATATGCTCGACAAGACACAAAACAATAGAAACACAATGGACCTTAATTGTGCCACAAACACTAAACTTCTACTACTGCCTTATTTGGAGATGCCATTTAAAGTTTATCTCCATCTTTTATAGTTTTAAAGATAAAAGGCAAATTTGAATTTTTTGGCGAAAAATCGTCCTTTAAGGGCAAATACATATATAAGAAATTGTCTGGCAGTTTTGGTGTTTATAGACAGTAGGTATATCTTAACATTCTAAAGAAATCTTCCCAAGTCAGATAATTTATCTATAACAGTCTTCATGTTAAAAGACATACCTTTATTTGACCCATATGTAGATATAAGAAGATGTGGTATGAGTGCCAACGAGACAACTCTCCATCCAACTCACAATTTGTAAAAGTAAACCATTATAGGTCAAAGTACGGCCTTGATCTATTTTACGCCATATCAGCCATTTGTTTGGCAACCAGAATTACCCAACTTATTTTTTAAAACTAGGAATCCAAATGAAGAGTGTGGGAAAGTCTGGTTTAAATATGGCCGAATAGTTTCAGATGAGAAGATGTTTGTAAAAGATATTGGACGACGTATCCAAAGTGATGGAAATATTCCACTTGGACCTTTGAGCCAGGTGAGCTATAATAAGTAGATGCAGTTTAGGAAGGCAAATGAGACGACTATCCAATAAAGACGAAAATAACGTATTCTTATTTCATTGGTAAAGTTGACAGTTGAAAAGGAACTTGCATTCCCTGTGTGCGCCCGAGTTCAACTACATCGTTTGGTAAAGATTATATGGTTCAATAATTAATATGTTTTTGTGGACGGTTGTTTTTCTGTCTTCTTTACTTTTTGTCATTTTTGTGCCAACTTGTATTCGTTTATTGCTTGAATCCCCTGTGTATCTGTTCACTCCTATGTTTGTCTATGTTAGTTTAAACATATCTTATTTGCTAAATCTAATCAAAACGAATGAGACACAGGTAAATCATACTTACAAAGTCTTCTCCATAATACAATATGAGTATGTTTATAATAATACTATTATTAGCATGCATGTAAAACGAACAAATTCATTAGATAAGAAAGTGAAGGAAAAATAAAATTTTGAGAAATTATATTATTCTGTGATGATGACTTAGGGTTTGATGGTGGTGATGGTCCGTGCCAGTATGATAGCTTTTCTACTATTTCATTTTATCAAATATAAAAAAAATTACATAAATGTGAATTCCAGCTAACTGCCCCTAAATGACGATGAGAACACTATTATCGTCTACTGATTTAAAACTGTTCTACTGTAGACCCACCATCTTATTTCAGATTACACCTTTGTTTCTAATTGATCTCTCTTTTAACTTCCTTTGCTTTCTCATTCAACTACTGTTGTAAAAATCTTATTGCCTGATAAAGGCGGCAAAGTTCTTTTTAAATGCTCTTTCAATTCATTCTCTGACAAGTGTTTTAAGTATTTTGTATCGAATTGTTACTATTATGATTGGCTGTATTCTTGACTAGCTCGTTACTTGTTTTCCTCTTCAGTAGGTACTTTAGTTGGTTTATATGGTCGACTGTAAAAAGTAAAATCACAAAAGTACTGAACTCCGAGGAAAATTCAAAAAGGAAAGTCCCTAATCAAATGGCAAAATCAAAAGCTTTTATGTAGAAAATGGTGGATTGAACCTGGTTTTATAGCTAGCTAAACCTCTCACTTGTATGACAGTCGCATCAAATTCCATTATATTGACAACGATGCGTGAACAAAACAAACAGATACAATAGGTAAAAATGTCAAAAATAACTTACACTAGTGAACTCCGCATTTCCTTCTGTTGATTTGTTAGATAGCGATCCATATTTTCTCTTACTGGAATCATAGCTTAAGATGAACAGATATTCTTTTAAATTAATAAAAGAAAGGCTTCACATTATTTGTAATCATGGCATTACAGTTTTTATGATAAAACGTGTCACATGTATCCAGAATTTGATTGATGTGATGAAATCTGTGAAAATATTAAAGATTTGGAACTGTTAATTCAAACGCGTGGTTTTCCAAATATGTTTTTTTCGTTCACTATTTATGAGGGCAGTACTAGTGGGAAAAGAGCTTTCATAGGTTTAAAGATTCACATAGGAAATCTACACTCTAAGGAAACTAGAAAATCAAACGGAATTCGGAAAGGATTTTTTGGTAGATTTGAAACATAACCTTTATAGCTAACTATTATTTTCATAAATCATAAATACGAATTCTTTCTATTTGTCGCCTTGTAACGGGCAAGTTAGTCTTGTGTGTTGTTTTTTTTTTTTATTAATTTCTGTTCATTTGTATGTTTCGGAGTTAAGTGTGTGTTCCATTTTGCAGAATTAGAATACGTTATTGTTGAGGGGACAGTTGAAGCCCGCTGCCGGGTACGGTATTTTTTCAATGCGTTGAAGGCCCATTGGTGGCTTTGATCTGTTTTCTGTTCTTTGGTTGGGTTGTGTCTTTGACAGATTCCCCGTTTCCATTCTCTATTTTATGTACAAAGTCAGAAATATGACAATTGTTTTTCACTCGTTCCGTTCATAACGTTTGATTTTGTCAGTTTTTATGGACTTGAATTTATCTTTGAGCGGCATTTTTGTTATACTTTTTTGGTGATGTTCATGATATAATCTAAAGCTGAAGGAGACACAAACAAACAACAATCAAATTATAGCCAAATGAAGAATGTCTTTTTTAAAGATACATGGATTTTCGCATTATACATTCACCATCATCATGGCAAAGGACCCCATGAATACTAGATATTATTAGTAGTTATGGATTTAATTAACGTTCGCAAATAAATCACTGTATTCCATAGATATAAGTAGATGTGGTATGAGTGCCAATGAGACAACTAATTTGGCTTTGAAATTCAAACTTGGTTTAAAAAGTCAATATGAGTGTCATGTTGCAATTATTTTATAGAAAATTATATTAATTCCACCATTAGGGTTGTTTTAAAAGATACTTGTACCAAAAATATATCAAATATGAAGATTTGCATCTGCTTGGTGTTCAGAATGTTAAATGCGCAGTCACATCTGGTCTAAATCAGACTTTAAATCTGATTCAACACCTGAAAGAGCATAAAACAGTAATAGAAATAAAATAAGCGTATTAACAAGGAGAATGAAGTATACGCCAATGGGATAGAAACTCAACCTCGCCGATATCTATATGTCGTTTCGAGGGCAATAAACAATCGTACAATACAACAGTAAACATGTGTCGTTACAATATCTATAGATACAAATCGTCTCGAGTCAATACACGTTGAGAGAAAAAATTAAAAAGAATTCAACCTGTTAAGTCTCTGAATTACACAAAGAATGAATTATTAATAGGAATTAGCTTTACTATTTACAAGATACCTGACATGTGACAGGCACAAACAAAATGGTGGGGATGAACTAGTTTTTTCCCCTTTTATATGAAAACTCTGAGCTTGAGATAATGTTTGGCAACATTTTATTGGCAGACATATTGTCTTGCTATGTCAAGGTTTGATGCACATAAATTTTGCTTTTGTCTATAAGTTATTCTCTAAAATCACAAAATAAAGGGTTTACTTACTCTTTAGTTCTACGAAACCTTCTGATGAGAACACCAATAACTATGACAATAGCAATGAAACCAACAACAGCAATTATAATTCCGACTATAAGAGCAGTGTCGGCTTTTTCAACTGTAGCTGTAATAGAAATAAAGATCGTCCATATTAATAGATCGTCCATAATGTAATAGAAATAAAGATCGTCTACGACACTTACCAAAGAGGAATTTCAACCAAAGATGAAGAACTGGATCTTCCATCACTGTATTGGATACCTAAACTACATAAGTGTCCTTACAAACAACGGTATATTGCTGGGTTTTCCAAGTGCTCCACGAAATCTCTTTCTAAATTATTAACATCTATTTTATCAGCAATCAAAGCCGGGCTCCAAAGTTATTGTGAAACTGCCTATTCTAGAGGTGACATGAATCAGATGTGGATACTAAAAAATTCCAAAGATCTTTTAGAGTACATACAATCTAAGACTCTCTCATCTTGCAATAGGATTAAAACATTTGACTTTTCTACACAAGTATTCCCCATTCCAAACTAAAAGACAAATTGAAAGAGTTGGTATTACTTTGTTTCATTAAAAAGAATGGCGAACGTAGATACAAGTATCTTGTCTTGGGAAGGGATAAATCCTACTTTGTAAAGAATCACTCTGATTCAAACAAAAAATTCTCTGAAACTGACATTATCAAGATGCTTGATTTCTTGATGACAAAATATTTGTTACGTTTGGAGGACGTGTTTTTCAACAGACTGTCGGATTTCCAATGGAAAATCATCCCTTTGTAAATTTTACGGACGCCATCACGAGTTGGTTGACCGTTATGGAATAACCGTTTCACAGATGATATCGGATATGTTCCTTATGCCGTCACTACAATACCCTTCCCTTTTCACGAATGTGACCTACCGAATTAGACTATTTACCGGATTTGTAATAACATAAGCAACACGACGGGTGCCACATGTGGAGTAGGATATCCTCACCCTTCCGGAGCACCTGAGATCATCCCCAGTTTTTGGTGGGGTTCGTGTTGCTTAGTCTTTAGTTTTCTATGTTGTGTCATCTGTACTATAATTTGTCTGTTTGTCTTTTTTTTGGCCATGGCGTTGTCAGTTTGTTTTCGATCTATGAGTTTGACTGTCCCTCTGGTATCTTTCGTCCCTCTTTTAAAAAGAAGACGGATCATCGAGTCAAAATGTCGGCCTCAAAATCTTTTAAAACTATTTCTGGATGGATATCAAATACATATATATATTCTGCAAGGTGATAACTTTTCGTCGTTCCAATTTCTAAGATATTTGATGAGTGTGTTGTGGCTGTACCGTCACTGCCATTGAAACTTGTCGTGAAAACAATAGGGGTCTTCCTTTCAAAATATGTGACTTTAAGTAAGGTTACAGATTTATAATCCAGAAACTCCTTTCCTGTGCTCATTTCTGTCTATTATTTTTAACTACGGCCTAAACCTTTGACTTGTTTACCTCAAAATAGATATGGATCTTCATGTCATAATACGTTACCATGTATCCAAGTCAAGTTGCTGTCAATTTCCTGCAAACATTCTGTATATTTGTTGCAAATCTCACCTTGACATTAGAGCTATTGTAGCGTAGGGTATAATACATACGGTCCTTTTCGACCAAATACAGTGCCTGCTGACTCATCTTCGTTTTAATACAACACTTGAATATCCATTATTGCTCTAGTTTTATCTATATTTCTTACTTGTTGACAAATAACAGATTGTGAATAAGTACTACTTTTAATAACTTAAAAAACAAGTTGTTTATTTCAAAATATAGATGTTCCGGATCATATCAATATTTGGATCATATTTGATATATACTCATATGGTCCGGGTAGGCACTGCGATGAACGTTGAAAAGTTACTTTTACTACTTATTGAAATAGGCATGACCTGGCTTGTCATAAATTAAATGAAAGTTTTACTTATTTAATCATATGATAATCATTGTGACATGATTAAGAATGAAAAAAGCTAGCTTTATCCTTTAAATCACGTTCCATTAAAGGTAATGTCCTCTCACTAGATATACTCGACATGTGACAGGCACAATAAAATGACTAGACATTTCAGCAGCACTTGCATATGGAGTATATATAAGACTTATGAATAGGAGCAAGAACATATTAAAAAAGTATTTAATGTTTTTTAAATTACTTTCAATTTAGTTTACATTTGTGAAAACAATTATAAACTAGAAGATTTTCCTCTTAACAAAACTTATCTAAACCCTCGGGAAAAAACCCATGTCCAAAATGACAGAATAAAGGTGCTTAAAATGTATCCAAGCGAATGCACAATAACAGGTACACCCAGATTCAGACGATATGCCCAATATAAAGGATTTCAGTAAGTAACCAATGTAGATTTCGGTTCGAAGCACGAGCTATGTGTTCCATCGAAGAATGTTAAGCACGAGCTATGTGTTCCATCGAAGAATGTTAAGCACGAGCTATGTGTTCCATCGAAGAATGTTAAGCACGAGCTATGTGTTCCATCGAAGAATGTTAAGCACGAGCTATGTGTTCCATCGAAGAATGTTTCACTCCTTCATATAATAAAATTAACATACGTGCAAAAATTTTTCAGATTCACAGCTTCCTATTAGTTAGGTGGTAAGCTGTTAATGGAATAGAAAAACGTAAACTGCGGGCAAAATATTTTTTTTTCGTGTAATAATAATTATTTTATTCTTATTAATAAATGTTCATATGACTGAACACTCTTTCTGTAATATGTCTTCCCTCATTTTGCATCCATTATGGTCACCACCGTAGTTTTAGTTTTGAGCACAATAATTAATAATTACCCGAACATTTGGCATTGACCAACGGAGACCATGTCTGAGTAGTGTCACCGGTTGCTGAACATCTGTATGTCATGGTATCACCCTGTAATTGTCCCTGTCTACAGCTCTCTATAGTAACTGTCTGTCCGAGTGAGTAATTCGTGTTACTCTTAATAGATTTAGGAACATTTAGTAGCCCACAGTTCCTAACTACAATTAACAAATAGTCCAAATGTAGCTTGATACTAAATGTAACAATATTTAATTTTATTTGACATACATGTTATCAATATTCGTTGTACATGGAACGCGAAAGCACGCTTTAGGTGAAGGGCAGACATGTTCATGAAAATTGCAAACGGAATAGACCATTTTGGTATTGACTATTGACGTCATACAGAAATTACTTTTGCAATGTTATGTCGAGTTATTGCGAAAAATGTGTAGAATTGCTTTATTTTACAATGTTTCTATTCTATTCACATTCTTGAAATATTCAATTTCGTATTCCTCTTTTGTCTTGCCCATTTAATGAATCATTTAATAGTTAGTTATATGGTTTTGGGCCTTTCTGACAAGTTAAATACAGAACATTACTTCCGACAGATTAAAGTTGAAAAGATTACCATTCCTTCTTCATAATTATAATTAAACTCCTCATTGTATCATTTACACAAATCATGACACATGAAGTTCATTTTAATTTTGAAATAACCTACTTTAAAAATTTCGCATTTGGTTTTTCAATAGACTACAAAAATAGAAAAATGAAATGTGAACTGATATCATTTGAATATGATAAAAAACTAAACACAAACATACAAATGTAGCCTGTTTAAAATTAAATAAAATCAGACGTGGTTATTCAAACAATCAGCATACCTATAGTTTCTATAAAATGAACGAATATTTACCTGGAGTTAAGAAACGTCGTAGTTCATAAATTCTCATAGACATTGATTTAGATTGCATTGCTATTTCCCTGTTACCAGTAGCTATATAGTCAAACATACACGGCTTATTGTCCTTACATTCCTGAAGAGGTGTCCTCGGAGGTTGCTCTACTGAACAAATAGACGGGTCATTACTTGGAGCGATATAGATTGGTAAAACGCTGTCCATCTTTTGTGTTGCCCCTATAAAACAATATGAATGATAGGCTATGTGGGCAAATCCGTAACAATAAAACTATGAACATATGTACATATAAAAAAAAGAAAATTGATATTACTACTAATCAGACAACTCTCCACCAGAGGTCAAATGACATATAAGCTAACAATTATAGGTCACCGTACGGCCTTTAACAATGAGCAAAACCCATATCACATAGTCAGCTATCATAAAAGGCCCCGAAATAACAAATGTAAAACAATTCAAACGAGAAAACTAACGGCCTGATGTATTAACAAAACATTGCACGAAAAACAAATATGATATACAGCAATAAACAACAACCACTGAATTACAGAACCTACCTTGGGACATGCATATACAGAAAGTGGCGTTAAACATGTTAGCGGGCACCTAACACACCTTCTAAACCCCGGGACAGTGGTATAACAACATAATTAACACATAACCAGCAAATCTGAATCAGAACTAACTTCAGAAATTGTTAAACGTTTAGTTTACCTCGAATGTTGTGTAACCGCGAATTAGCCTTTTTGTGCTGCGGCCTCGTAAAACAAGCATCATTTAATCAGCCGAATATTGTACATATATTACTATCTTAAGTAAAGAGTTTTATATAAAGCTGCTTTTATGCAATTCCTAACTTTATATGTATTGAATATGTATATTTATTGAGCAAGGAAACATAGGATAGAAGTAAGGAATCATTTAGGCATAGTATACCCAATCACATAAGGAGAAATATTAGATAAAACAAGACTTTTATCTGATACTTACATGGATATTTGAACAGATGATAAAGCGTTAAATCATCCAATGAGTTATTGTCAATCTGTGCAGTAACTGTATAATTTACATTAAGTAGGTCATCTGTAGCATTTCCATTAAAGTTTCCTAGAAGACCTTGGACTTTTCCCTACAATCATATCAGAGATCTGGAGGATATACAAAATGGAAAAACAGTTGTAAGTTTTCAAAATTGGTTTTCCTATCGATCAAAACATGTTCAAGGTGAGCTTTTTTCTTTTGCATTGGCATCCTAGGACAAAACATTAACTATTAGTTCCAGCTGTGTCGTCGTGTTTTATTTTGTAATGTTCCACATACATTGATGACAAATATATGTTCATGTAACTCTTGTAATAGACGCAGTTGTATTTTGGTGTATGTATCTCTTGGAATAGATGCAGTTGTCTTTTGGTATCTTGTTTAATATACAAAAAACTTATCAAATGGTTTGTCGTCTTTTTATCAAATGTTTGCACGAAATCACAATGTTTGCAATAAATGAATTTTTGTCCGTTTCAGAGACTTACTAATGATTACGTTTTTAATATGGTAATATTAAATTGGTTTGTGTTTTCTATATCTATTGTTAGATGTTACGCTTCTTTTTGACAAACCTATTTGACATACCTGAAGGGAAGATGGTGCTACGACTAAAACACATAATACTCGGTCACACTCAGCTATTTGAATAGCAAGTCCATTCTGTAGAATAACAGTGAAGTTTGATTCCATGCCTGTCTCATCCGTGTTCACCACACTAAAAGCTTACAGAGTGAATGTGACATAATTAGATCTGCTTGTCAAGTTTAGAATGCATATGCAATAGAAGTTATGATGAGAAAGGCAGTCTATAGTATTTTATGTTTTAATCAGTTCAGTAATTCTATACGTAAATGATAAGTGTTATGAGATGACTTACGATATATATATAGCTTGATCAATAGATGAATGGTAGAATTGACATTTATGAACACACACATAAACACGCTAAAACACATTGTAAGATTCGCAAACCGACTATTTTAAGATAAATGCACTAATTGTCCTGACATAGTCCACGAGGATATCATTTCTCAAGTAGTCTGTTTTGCAGCTGACATATTTTTAATATGTATTTAGATAAGGTGATATGGAATTATTTTCAATTAGACTACTTTCTAATAGATTCCACATGTTTCAAAATTTGGTTTCCAAATTTTGTGTGCAGACTTCATGCATCTTAACCTAAAATACTAGCTGTGAACACTTAACCGTTATCATGATTTTTAATTTACTGTTTGAAATCGTCCGATTTGTAATGGAGACTATAAACATGTAGTGTTTAGTCTGATTATGTTCAACAATATAAATAAGATGTGGTATGGGTGCCAATGAGACAACTCATCAAAGTCACAATGTATAAAAAATTTACAATTATCGGTCAAAGTACGGTCTTCAACACGGAGCCTTGACTCACATCGAACAGCAAGGTATAAAGGGCCCAAAAATGACTAGTGTAAAACAATTCAAACATGAAAACCAACGGCCTAATCTATATAAAAACGAGAAACACTTATGAACCACATCAACAAACGACAACCACTGAACAACAGGCTCCTGACTTAGGACAGGTGCATGAAAATGCAGCGGGTTTAAACGTTTTAACAGGCGTCAACCTTCACCCTAACCTGAAACAGTAGTGAAACATTACAACATAAAAAAACACACTATAAAATATCAATTGAAATTGCTTAACTCGATCAAAGGGACAATTAAACAAAAACAAGTAAAAATACGCTGAACGAATAAGTTTGATCTTTGACACAATATAAATACAATATTAATAAAAAAATATGTAGGAACAGTGTCATAAAGACAACTCTAACCTGGGACAAAATGGCGTTAAATAAAACAACATACACAGGTAAATTTAAATATAATAATTTTGTTGTTAGGAGTACGGAAGTAAACATTTTACAAAAACAGATATCCAGAGATCCCAACACGGTATTTTATACTACTAATAGTACTGATAGCAATACATATGTACTCACATGTAAAGTCCTGCCAGAAAGATTGTTTATTATCAAAGAAATGATATTGCTGATTGACAAGTACATCAAGATAACGTTTACTTCTATCTGCTGTTGGTAATTTTAGTCTTATTTCTACAGTCTCTGTAGTGCTACCACGAACAACACGAATTCCTACATTTGTTAGTATGACAGAGGTATTTCCTCCCTCCCCTATATAAACAGAAACATATATGTAAATAGAGGCATTTACATGTTCTTAGTACACACAGTGTGAAAAAAAACCACAATAAGAAAATGAATGCAAAATAACAAACCTAAATAAATAAATAAAAAACAAGATAAATTCGTGCGTCCGAAGTGCTTTTCTGGATTTACCTTCACCAGAAACGCTTAACCCAAAATATTTGAAAGCCAAAGATATCTAAGACCAAAACACGTAAAGGGCTATGCAAAGTAAAAATGTTTAATCACTTCGCATTGATAATTATCCCCTTTTCATACTCTCCTTAACACATTTCGAAATGAAGCATGTTAGATAGTAGATCGTTTCATATTTCGATGCTATAATTATGACCAAAGAAGAAATAAACATGAATCCTCACGAGAAGCACCGCACACACAAATTGCACTTTTTATTATATTTGATTCAAATAGGTCATAATTGATAAATTAGCTGAACGCGTAGCCGTGTTAAGGCTACATTCAATTTCCACGGGCCCTACATGGTATACCTATGTACAGTTTTTATTTGTATGTTTTATTCAACAAAGAACTTTGAACTTTGATAGTGCATTAAGGGTATGGATAAAATCATCAAGATTATTCCATTCCCCAAAAGGCGAAGGAAAAGTGGAAATCTGTAAAGAAAAATTTACAAAAGAAATAAATTAAGGCGACATTAGTTTACCGATGGTCAGATGTCGCAAATCAATTAGGAAGAGACAAATCAAGGCAACAAACAAAAGCTCTAAAAAGGAGTGATACAGGGTGTGCAACATGGTTATCTCCCTTTAACAAAATAGACTTGAAGTTGAATCTTGTTTCTACAAATTTGCCTAAAATATTGTAATATAATCTATAATAATTGTGTTAACTATGTTATTATAATGCTTACCAACAATTTCTGGGAAAACATTTTCATAAAATCGTCCTTGAACGGTCACAACACTTCCATCAGGTAATGTAGTATTCATCAAAAGAAAATCTCCAGGACCACACATACGTTGGTACATGCCATCAAATGTTTCAAAATGACCTTGACCAAAAACCATTGCTGTATATAAAAAAATATAAATAGATGGAACAATTTAGATAACGTCGGATATAAGTGAATTATTAGTCAATGAAAAAAAAGTCGAGAGCGTCACACATTTAGACAAACAAAATGAAATAAAATTATAAACCGACAGGCAATACATATTGTTTACATATACTTAACTGCTTCTGCATCAACAGAAATCTTACGGAAAAGGATAGAAGATAAGCCAAGGGTATGTTTTTTTGTGCGAGTTATATCTAAAACCCTTAATTGCAAAGTGCGTTTATCAAGTCAAGACTCTGACAGTATATTGCAACCAATACCTCCTAGTGTTTAATATATATTTGCATTCCCCATTTGAAATAATCATGATAATTAGGAAATTAAATCCATATTTGTTGTAAGATTTTAACGTTTTTTTACCTGGTGTTGGTGGATTGTAGCCTTGACAATCCCTAGTTGACCGCTGATCCATGTAATAATCACAATCTCTGTCATCAGTCCATAAACAACATTGATAGAACGTCACAACATCTTTAACCCAATGGGACATGTCAGGAACAAGGTCAACCCTATCAAAAGGATAAGCACCCCAAACATGGCTTCTATCTGGCGTACTCCCTTGAAAGCTATCAGATGAATACCTGAGATTTCCTCCAGCATCATAACAGCACTGGTTTCCTGAACCGGTTTTTCTAACGGAATAAATCAAAAGAACAGTAATACAAGAATTAAACACGGGAAAATTTTCATTTTATAATTAAATATTGCATTCATGTCCCATATCGAAATACGAAGCTATGTGTGGCTGGGTTCAACATGTTTGCGGGAGCCTAACCCTTCCCCAAACTGGAACATTGGTGTTATAGCATAATATAAGAATACGCAATACAATTCAGTTGAAAAGATTTTAACATAAAAACAACTAAAAAAAAAAACAAAAGACATAAAGTACAGATTTGAGAGTACTCGCAGATACTGAAAACTAGTTCAAAGCATAGAACGAATAATAAAACAAATCATGTATCTTAAACTAAAATATCAATCAGTATCCATTCAACACACAATGCTTTCAGTGTAGGGACGTCATTAACATTTAGAGAAAAACCGTGATCTTGTGAAATATAGGTATCGACAAAATGTAGGAGAGTAAATGTTCATAGGTGTAAAACAATTATAGTATTTAGTTGGGTTTTAATTGTTTTATAACAAATGTAATATTTATACCGATAAAACAATATTCCAAGATGTTATGGCAGTTGTAAATTCAAATAGGAAACATTTAAGAATAAGTTTATCCGGATCGTATTCAAATTTACGGGCTCGATAAACAACTTCATCTTAAGTATTTGGAAGTACTATCCCTGGTTTGTTTTCAAATCAATAAGAACAATTGTCTTTTAATGAGTTGAAACTAGCTTGCGAAAAATCTGTAATTCTGGTTTTATTCAGTTGTATGTTTTATATGTGCATAATTCTTTGGTTTTGTTTTTTCTTTTGTTAATATTAGATAAAAAGCTCACCAAATCTTATGTTTAGATGCTGTATACTAAGCCGAATTAGTTACTAAGTTTGTTATGTCTATGTCTATGCTTGTTTTCAAAAGATAAACTGATTATACTTTTTTTTTTTAAACTAATCAATGTAAATAAAGGCAACAGTAGTATACCGCTGTTTAAAAGTCATAAATCGATTGAGAGAAAACAAATCAGGGTTACAAACTAAAACCGAGGGAAACACACCAACTATAAGAGGAAAACAACGGAACAACAGACACACTGAAGTGCAACAAAAACAAACGCCAATGCAACATGCATATAGAAACGAACTGCCATATTCCTGACTTGGTACAGGACATTTTAAGAAAAAGTATTGAAAACATCCCTTTTTGTTACTTATTCGTCTTTTTACGATTTTTTCTGTAATTTCTAGCAGTCGTGTACATTAACTTTGGCTTATTATAAATTATCATTGTTTAAGGAGATTTGAAGAAGTTAAATGGGGCAGCAACAAAACCACTGAATAAAACATCACAAATTGGTCAATCGTTATTTTCAGTTTGCTATTTTGGTACAATGCTTTTAATTATAAACTATAACAAATATACATACGAAGGTTGGACAGATCGAACACAATGCACAGATCCTTTGTGATATCTACATTTACTGGTCCTATTATCATACAGGTAACATCCGAAATCAGTCTGAAAACGTCCTATATCACTAAGTGCTTGTACCAGTGTACAAGGACAACTCTCTAAGCTGTTCAGCCAACTCATATCTTGTCTGTCCTGATCATACCATGTCTTACATTTTTGGCTCGGCCAATTGTCACCAAGATTGATGACCATGGCGTTGTTTACAAAAAATCCTAGGGTTATTACATTACTTATTAAGAATCTGAAAAAATGCAAAACTTGTAATATAAACTTTGAAATGACTTCTTATTGCGTCATCATTGTTGTTTTATTGTTCATTGAACGGTCTGGGAAAATCTTCGGAGAATATAATAATTCATTATATTCCTAATACAGATGTAGAATGAACGCATTTACTATTTGACATATAAAATGATTGACACAACCCTCTTAGATACACCCACTACCAGAACTGACTTCGAATTCAAAAATCGACCCAGACATATGCAAGACAATACTATAATCATAACAAAACGTTAACAAAGATGCTCAATAATGGACACTGCCATTAACTAGATTACACCTGGCATCATGCACAGATCATTCGACATTAGAGTTAGGACTTGCTTAGACACTGCTTTCCCATCTAAAAATCGTCCACTGAGGAGTGCCTAGCTAACATATGACAACTTGGGTAGGAGAATCCTAATGTGATATAACTACATATATCACTCAGTCACTAGTGAAACTCCTAACACTGACATTGTCACGACTAACGACCAAAGGATACCAATACAATACAATACAATATGCTTTATCTAAAAACACTTCGTCACATTGACATGTAAAACAAGAGGTAAATATATACAAAATACAATCACATACAATCATAGAAATAAATAGAACAACTTAGAAATGAAATATATTTATAATTACTTTACTTTATAATATTTTCGTTAACTTTGAAACTAATAAAGATACATTCTTAAGTACATTAATATTAACCAATGATAGTAGTCCTTTCATATTTGCTGCACTTATATAGAATAATAATACCAAGAATCCTTCTGCAACAATGCCATTACAATACTTTATAAGATTATTTTGTTGTCAAACTCCCAGCTTAGACACTGCCACTACAGAAAAGGATCAGTGTTCGAGTCGTTCATTAACAATACTACAACGATCGGAGTAATCGTTGTAGCCAAAAATGCAGGTTTTATACGAATTATATAGAATATTTATCTAACTAATTACTAACATTACCCAATATTTCTAAAGAAGGTATCAATATATTACTCTATTTATAATAGAATTAAAAAACGAACTGCCAGTCTTTAGCAAATAAATGTGTTTCCGCCCAATACAGTTTATATATATTAAAAAAAATAAATCTGCATCCACACAAGTAGAAATTAAGAAAAACAAAGTTCAAAATGCAAGAACTCCTTGATTTTTTTAATTTTCCCTCCAGCCGGTTTCACTGTGAACATATATTTGTTCCGCATAATACTTGTTCCCCCTGGAACAAAACTATGGATAATAAAAGTTCTTGGGAACAAACATTACATAATACTATTTCCACCTTCATAAGATATTTTCCTGGAACTAAAACGCCATATGGTTTCATAATATTTGTTCCTTTAAAGAAAGAGTGTCATTTGATTTTTTACACCTGATTACATCTTAATTAATGTTCACCTCAAATGACATTTACCTGTACATGTAGTAAATACAAAGAATGGAGTCTGAGGAATACAACAAAAAATGTACATATTTAAACGATGGCTCTTATTCTAAACAAGGTAAGAATATATATTTTTTCCCAATGGAACTTTTGTTATATGCTAAAAGTTCTTTGGAACAAATATTATAGGGGAACTTATATTCTGTCACACAATGTAAATGAAATCAGTGGTAACGTAATGTTACACATATGACAAGGAAAAAGTAAAATAACAAAAATACCAAACTCCAAGGAAAATTCAAAACGGAAAGTCCCTTATCAAATGGCAAAATCAAGAGCTCAAACACATCAAACGAATAGAAAACAACTGTAATATTCCTGACTTGGTACAGTCATTTCCTGTAGAAAATGGTGGATTAAACCTGGTTTTAGAGCTAGCTAAACCTGTCACTTGTATGACAGTTCCCCTTATATGTGATGTGATGACAGATGCTAAGTCTTACTTGGTTTGTATTTGTTAAGGAACATGATCATGTATATATATATCTAAGAGTAGAGAAAATTTGAAAAAAAAAGACCAATGAAATCTATAAGTGTTTAAGAAATATTTCAAAACGTTTAAATATTCAACTAATACTCGTCCATTAGTCTTTATCATGTTCCCAAAACGAAAATATTGTTTACTGTATTGTAAGTCATTGATTTTTTGGTGTTTAATGCCACTCTTGTCGATATCGTGGTGGCTAGTTTTATTGTTTGAGGATGCCGAACCGTCAATTATAGTCCATTAAGATCTAATTCAAAAGCACTTGCCACGAGCTAGGTTCAAAATCACAACCTCAGAGTTGACATGACGTAATAATTGCTATAAATCAACTCTTTATACCAATCGGTCACCGAGGCCCCTGTGCAAGTCATTGACGAATTTTATCGCTTTGCCTCATTAATTTTACTGAAATTGTTTCGTTTAGAAGAATATACGATTAAAGTACCTCATACCTGTAGAATGTAGCCTTTTTTTGGTCTTGTAGTTCAGCCATAACAACTCCGATTTCATACTCATCACAAACAGGACCTATACAATTTATACTATTTGTCTGAAATGTAAACTGCTCAGCTGATGCACGAATAGTTCCTATACTTTTTAGATTTGACCAGGTTATCTGAAATGTCAAAAGTATGCTTTAATATGAAAAAGGTATTCATAATCTACTATATCCATTCCGATAAAAAGGGCTGATTTAATAAAATAAAAGGAAAAACGTCTACCGAAACCATTCGACCTCTTAACATTTTGATATAAGAAAAAAACTGTTCTCATGTGAACAGATACAAAATAAAAGTCCAAATATAACTGAATCATCTGATTCGAGCATTAACGTGCCAACTGAAATGATGTGTGCATCCCTTCCATCTATTGAAACAGGTATAATGTGAACGCACTTATTGTACAGGGAAAAAAACGTGTCATGACTTACCCCATTATTATTTTCCTTATATCCCATCAAAGAAATGTTGATGTTTGCATTCCTGTAATCTGTAAACAAAGAACTGTTCCAATGCAAAGTTAACTGTGTTGTGTGTGTCTCGTTCCATCCCTCTCCCTTTCCCATGTATGGTAAATGTATTCTCTCATCCTTTGATACTCTGCCGGGATGAACTGTTAAAAAGTGTAAGTTGACTAATTTCAACGGTGCCAAAAAAAAATGATAATACACACTCAAGTACTGCATTTTGGATAGATGTGTTAGTAAAAAACGTTCATGATTCATTATTTAAACCACAAAATCCCTAAGATTGAAGAAGAAATTTGGGTTAGGATATAAAATTTGTCTTCGGCTTGCGATTTGTTTTAATTCGGTTCCAGAAGTTTGGTAATTGCAGACGTCTTTGTTAGTGATTAACCAGACATTTCTCATGCACTACGGATATATAATTGGCGTGATATAAGTTGATTCTAATATATATGTAAAAAATGGAAAGTTATAAATAACCTGTTTGTTGTGGAGAAATAATTTGTTCGTTGCTCAAAATTTTGAGACCCCCCCCCCCCCACCCCCACCCATCCCAACAAAAAAATCTAGAAATCATTTTTTTATAGTTTTATATGCTCCTATATTATTGATCTTTAATTTATGACAGTCTTTTATGTGATATGTCAAGTACTGATCTTTCATTTTGCTGTTTTGTAATATTTGTATTTGTGTTTGGCTTGATCCCATTCATTTATGTAAGTGGGATGATGTTTTCCGCTTTACATACCTATCAATATTTTTTTGTAGTGTGTAAATATTTTCTGTTGTTAACTGGTATTCGCAAGATATCCAATCATGTACGGACATCCTTGGGACAGAACAACGATATGTCTCTATGTTGTGATTTGTAGACTGTTGTTTTGCTTATTTATCTACATCCTTAAATGTCAATTTTCTTTGAATGTGAATTTGCTGGCATCTTTAATAATTTAATTGTAGTGAATTAGATGTTCGAATTATTTTATAGTGTCATTCTATTTTTTTTTCAAATAACAAATAACATATAAATATTGGTAAATGTTTAGTATACGCTAATTGGACAACAACTATACCATAAGGATAGTCAAATTCATAAGTCGAAAACGAACTGAGAGTATTATTGCAAAAAACGAAAAGCTACCAAAGGACAAACAACAGTTTACAAAACATAACATAGAAATCTAAAGACTGAGCAACACAAACCCAACCAAAAGAACCCGTGGTGATCCCAGGTGCTCCGAAAGGGTAAGCAGATCCTGCTCCACATATGGTAACCGTCAAGTTGCTCATGCAAGTACAAACTCGGTGATAAGTCAATTGGAACATATTCTCAGTCATCTGTGAAACATACCTATTAGAATTTTTGTACTGTGTGAATATGTTATGTTGTTAATTGACATTTCCACCGTTATCCATCCACGTATTGGCATCCGTGGAACAGAACACCTTGCCTTCATAAAATTAACTTTATAGCCGTATGTGACTAAATCATCTTTGCCTCCGAATCTACACTTAACCTGTGTTAGACGTGCATTAGAATGCATACATGGACCAGATATATCCAGCATTTTACCACCAAGCATTCCAGCATATGTTGGATAAATGCTTAGGACACCTTCAAAGATAGCATAAAATTATATAAGTACATTTATTCAAAAATATAAAAACCTTCTTCTTAAATGTTTATCATCTTTAATCCAAAGTAAACATTTTGTAAGCACGCCACATAATTCTCTGTAATTTTTTTAATTGCACTGTTTTTTTTTATTTTCCCTACAGGAAAAACAAACAATGTTTTTGGCCTGTATATATCAACCGTCTAATGTTCTCTCTATATACATATGTACATTATATTCTATTGGAAGGGAGTTTTAGTCAGATTTGTATATACATGTATTAGAAGACTATTTGGGTATATTTGATAACATGAAATACTAGTACTACGCAATAAAGTCAGAACCTATTAAGGTAGATTCATGGTATACCGCCATCTTGGATTGTACAATCGCAGTACACAATCGGTCTAGATCTTTGCCCAAATCTGCAAATTTGGAGACAGATAGGCAATTTATAGGTTAGACTGTTTATTTAATGAAAGAAAACTTGGTGATTTATTGCATTTTTTCAAAATGTTTAAAAAAAATACCAAATAATTGTGTTTTTGGAATCATTTTTTCAGCTTGGCCATTTAAGGGGAGATAACTCTTTTAGTAAAAAAATTATACTGGACTGATAGGGAAATTTTATTTTTTTACTTGTAGCAAGAAAACAAGTTCGGTGACACCATTTTTTCTTTTTATTTTTTAAAGCATATTATAAAACCTATCTTCTCATATTATATTTCAAAATTCTATCTCATAGATTTCTTTTTAAGCACAAAAATGTGTTTTTTCATGAACAATCTAAGCAAATTTGTGCAATTTCGTACAACCCGTAGCTTGAAAAATAGCACGGTGACCCATACTTTTTATTATATTTTTGGAAAAAGCATAGAAAACCTTTATTTTGGCAAAGTATAAAAAATTCTATCTGAGGAAATATATACCTATGATCTACCTTAAATTACCATCTGCTGTAAAAAGAATTACTTCTACACTTTATTTTTCCCCTTACAACTAGTTGATATAATTCTTATTTGTTGACTAATAAAATAAACTTAAGAAAGTATATATATATATATTACTTCCACGTGTATCGTTAGAACATCCTCCAGGCTGTATCTGTTCTCTATCTATTCTGAAGATATACATCCCCTTCGAATCACTTCCATAATTGTCCAAAACATGTGTCAACTCTCTGTCGTTTAATGCGGTTGTATACCCTCTTCCCTTACCAGCATTAAAACCGGACTACAAAAAACAGCATCAAATTGTGTAAATCTACTCCTATAATTTTTGCTTTCTCTGTTGAAAAAACAGGTGCAGAACATGTTACCAATATTTTGTGAATGGCAACATCTAGTGTATTGATAATGCACTTTCAGTGATCTGCTTATCATAATTAGCATTCCCTCTCAAGAAGTATGATTTGTACTTTCCTCAAACAAAACATTTGTTTCTACGTTGGTCATTCTTTTCTGTGAAGCAAAATGAGACTTCTATAATTTCTACCTGTCTCCAAGTTTATGAATTCTTAAAAATTTACTAAAATACAGCTGAAATTTAAAAACATGATATTTCTTCTTCATTCTCGATACTAGTAGTTTACCTTGACTGCATCTATTTTAAAAAGTGCAACATTCCATAATAATTTTATGTAAACTTTTTCAATGTTTTAATTTGTTTTGACAAAATATACGCTTTTCACTCCAATTGCCGGTTTTATATTGTATTTATAATTCATCAATAGTTTCTTCCAATCGTCATCCCTTTTAGCAACAATAACCAGGTTTGTCTTTGAATGAAGAAATCGCCATTTGTTTGAACGGAAGTCTACTAGCATATTTTGGGAACTCTCGGAGTACTTGTTTCACTTACAAAGTCAGATTAGAGAAAAGGCAAATATACAGTCAAAGATGTAATTCTGAAAACTCTTTTTAAGATTTCCTCTGCCGAATATGGAAATAACACTTGGTAAATGATGTGCGCCTGAAGCGGTTTTCTGTATTTACCTTAATCAGGCAACACTCAAAGCCAACATTTTGAAGGCCATGGATGTATAAATATTAGAGGAGTTATATGGCTGCGATTTTACCTTGTAAGTAAAACGAATATCCGAAATTATCTATGTCCAACTTTACCTTAGGAAGTTGCAAATAAATGGAAACAACACGTTATAAATTGTATGCGTCCGAAGCGCTTTTCTGGATTTACCTTCATCAGGAACGCTCAAAGCCGACCTTAGATTCAAATTACTATTTATGATTTCAAATATGCATGGCTGTGTCATTCATTATGACATTAGAATAAAATTGTCTATTTCATAGGTAGTGCTATTGTTTATATGGATAAACGCGGTCAACTGTATCATGTAATTTCACAAATATAGACAAGACAATATTTTCACCTCTTACAAAACATTTACAAATAATAAATTCACATATACACAAAACATAAAACATAACACATTAAATCATATATATATATAATCATTTTAAGAATATAATATAGGTGGAGGGTAATATACAGGCAGATATCCAAATGAATTAAAACAAAGAAAATGGAACTCTTTATTAGAGAAGGTAAACATGACCAAAATGGTATATTTGAATTGTTTACAACTCTGTCCTCTTTTCCTCGAATGTGAAAAAAAAGCTTCGTGCTACTAGAAATGTTAAAACTTTAGGTGTATTTCTGCTTTTTTGTAATTTTTAAAAATTTTCATTCACTCATTTTTCTATTTAATTATAGGCATAATTTGTAGTCGGACACATCATTCACTAACACCCCTTTATTTTGTTTTACTAAAAGCCCTTGAAAACAGACTCTACTTGTGGATCTTTCCACGAAATATTGAAATATAATTGTTTTTAGTGTTATTTAGACTTTCGAAAATTCCCACTGACAACAAATCAGACAATAATTTTTAGTTGACAAAAGGCCTAAAAGTACATTATGTTTTATAGCTAGTAGATACATTTGTCTTTTAGAATATATCTGTCGTGTAAGGATCGTAATATTGATGCTATGTAGATTCGGTTTTCAAGAGCTAAATTGACTGTGCGTCATCTCTACCATGTCTACAATGACTTCCATTTTCACGATTTTTATTTTAAAAAATTATGTGACGTACATGTAGTGTAGAGATCATTTTGAGGAAGTAGAATCCTTATTGTAACAACAAAGATAAGTCACTTGAGTTTTTTTTTAAATGTGATTTTATTGACGCATGTAAGAGGATGTGGATAGGGGTTTACAGAATAGAGAATAATGGGCAAAAAATATAAAGAATAAGGAAAAATGGACCCAAAAAAATAAGGAACAGAGAATAATGAGGTGCTTAAATATAAAGAATAGAGAATAATGGGCAAAAAGTATAAAAAAATAGAGAAAAATGGCCTATAAAATTACGGAATACAGAAATGAAGGAACCCCCCTCCTCCCCCATCTAGACCCTCGTGTAAGAAAATTAATCGGGGTGATCGCATCTAGTAGTTTCAGAATTATTTACATTTTGCAGATCACTGAAAAATATCGCCCAATAATCATAAAAGAAAGAAATTTCGACAATGAACCTCTAGCCTTCCGATTTTTGGCAATCCTTGTGTTTTAAATTTGAAAAAAAAAATTGAACGTTTGAAGTAGAGACATTTTTATATTACGACTTTAAATTTGTTAATTGTTGTTAATTCTAACCTGAGTAAATTTGTCCATTGTTATATCCATTTTCACATAATTAAATATAGCAAAACTTGAAGTACCGTCTGTCAACATTGCCAATTGAAATGTATTATTCTGAAGCGAAAATGTCTTTATTTGCATATCAAGTACAGTCACTATGTTATGAAATAAGGTACACTGTACTGCAAAAAAATATTTTGGATAAAATACGATGCATTGTTCTCTACAGGATTTCACAAGCAGATGTCAAATATATTTTATACAGTTCAGTGAAGAAATAAATACTTTTATTAGTTAATAAGCCCTTTCAATATCATTGTAAACTATCCAGTACCCAGCGTTTATCGACTCAAATACTGCATGATTTTATTTAAAATATTAATTAATTGCTTGCCTATATTTTATGAAGGTATTTCTTGACATATAAGAATTTCAAATATTGTCTCTTAAAGTATCAGGTACGTAAATTGACCATCTCACGGATTTGATGAAATAATTTTACAACCTCTAAAAGAATGTAAAACTGCATATTAATATCGATAATAATTTTAGGTAACTTCAATAATTTCCGAGATAAAGCAAATTGAATATCCTACATATAAAAGTGCAAATGTATAGAACGTATGTAAATATACCAAAAATCATTGAATAATTTGACTTAAATTGAATGTCCTTTGATTTTTCATTACAAATTATATGTTAAGGAAAGTAAACTTTCGGTATATAGATATAAAAGTTAAAGGGGTCACCGAATTCTTTTTTCTTTTCTTTATAAAGCACCATAGTGTATGTATAATTGCTGAAAACGTCGACAAGTACGATTCCGATTCGCAATGCAATCACGACGTTACACTTAAATTAGCCTTGATCATGCTGTGCAGAAGATATAACCATTTTTACTAAAAAAAAATAATTCGGTGACTCCTACAAATGTTATATCTATGAAACGAACTTTGCAGCGGCAAAAACATATAATTGTTTTAATGAGACAGGGGTTGTGGAAAATATAATTTAAAGCAAAAATTGCAGAACATTTTTCGCGATATAGGTGTATTCTATACAATTATACCTCGACAAGAATAAATGTTACATAAATAATTTTTCTTATACTCATATGAAGTTCGCATGCCCTAGTTGCTTGTAAAATTTAATAAAATCCATGAGATATCCCTTTAACATACCTGTTACCTAAACATTTACTATGTAAACAGACTGTGTTCCCTGTCAATGCAAACCTAACGGAAAAACCTGTTTTGTTAAACCTAGTAAGCTGCTAAAATATAATATATATTGACAGGTACATACTATTAGTTTGTTTTACCTAAAATTTTCCTCTTTGAATAAAGATATGTCCTGAGCCAGATCCCTGTAATCCAGATTTAAAGGCGATCATTAATTGTGTTGCTGAATATGTTTTCAGTAATTGTTTAAGCATAAATCATTCCGTTTCTTTCCTCATTTGAATTGTTTTTCTCATTACAAGCCCTTGCATAGTTTACTATTTGGTATTAGTTTTGCTCATTGTTGAGGGCCTTACTATGGGCTTTAATTGTTCATATCTTTTTACATTGGTGTATGAATAGTTGTCTCAGTTGCAATCAAACCAATCTCCCATTTTTCACGTGAAACTAAAAAACAAAGTCAGTAACTACAGTTATGGCTGTACTGATCCAATTAATTCATTCAACAATATAACATGTATAACAAGCGTTGCATATATTGATTGGTAAGTAGCAGATATACCTTGCACGAGCCACAACCGTTCATAATATCTGTGTTAGAAATGACTTCTTTCCAAGTTACAACCAACGCATACAAAGCCTCGAACTGGTATTCTAATCCCACCATAGATTCCTGAATGATAGAGGAGTATTTTGATAACTCCCCTAAAGGTACATGAGATCCTTCTCTATACAAAACCTGACCAGTGTACGTGTTGTTACCAACTTTTGAACCAATGCCATATGCAGGAAAATAATATGGCGCAACAAAAGCCGGGTCATCTTTGGTTAAAGTTTCAGTAAATACTTCGGTTTGGTGTAGAGTCCGGGGAGCAAATCCAACAAGACCATCTTTAGATACCTGAATAGAAAAACATGAAATACAAACAATGAAAGCAAATTCAGAATCATATTTATCTGTTTACAAAGATTTATGTAGCCTTACATGGTGTATTTTACTTTTACAACACAAGTTCTAGATTTTCAAAGGGGGTATAATAAGCACGTAAAAATGGTTTAAAAATAAGAAGATGTGGTAATATTGCATGTTGTTCATGTGCCAAGTGAAAATATCTGAACCATGTGTTGTTCGTTGTTGTCTTTGTTTGTGCGTCCATTTTCTTAGAGGAGTCGGGTGATGATGGTTAGTGCGGTCTGTTGTACTATTGTTATTTTTATGTATTATATATAGAAAATGTAAGGATTTAGGACAATAAATTATACGTAGTATTCAGTCTTTAATTGCTCCTTAATTTAAAAAAAAACTTTTTGGATGGAAAATGTGCTTTTTATTTCCTGGTGTGAAGTATTTCATTGTACGTGTTTAAAGGATATTTTGAATTTATTCAATATGTCCCAATATGATAGCATAAAAATATTATATGCTATTAATTTCAAATATATCCTTAAAAATGGTAATGTAATAAAACATACATAAAGATCTTTGTATCTGGTTCCCATGAACGGAAACTTGATATTATATGGAAGTGTGACTTTGCGATTTGTTTTGTCCTCCCCTCTAATCACAGGTTTGCCAGTTAATGGAAATATTTCATCTCCTTTTGAAACTGAAATAGAATTCATGCGATCATTAACAACATATATTTTAGTTTTATTCATTCTGTTTATCAGCTTCTTTCAATTCTGTCGTATAGTGCAGTTACATGTACAACTGAGTTTTGTGTTTGTTTTCAATTGAATAAATCAACTTACCTACAGGCTAAATCAGGCGCCAATGTTTAGAGGTATATCTAAAATTAATGCTTACCTGGTTGTAGATTGCAGAAATGTTGCAGAACCCTGATATGAAGTTGAAGCGCATTTTTCTTTTTTTCACTCCTAGTAGTAGTTGATATGTTGTATCTTTAAGTGTACCAAGGATTTGAAAATTAAAGCTGCATTCTATTTGAACACTCAACCGTTTTTGCATGTTTTGTTCAACGCATTGTTTATATTTTGTGCGACATGGAAATATTCAAATTGTCTTCTTCATAAATAACAAGGAAACCTGTGAAATCGTTTTACATGTAAGGTAATTATATAAATGTTCGTCGTCTGTTTCTATGCACTGACAGTTAAAAGTGCACCCTTCTTTACATGCGCCGTACACAAACAATAAACAACTAAAGTGGTGACATGTCGGTATGCGATTACATAATAATAAAATACATTCTGTTACATCTAAAAATATGTTCTTCAAATTAGATGAAAGAAATGATTAAATTACCTATGTACTACAAACTTACTTGATGAAAATGAAACACAAGCAAAAACAATCCTGATCAAATAAATTTGAATTTCCGTGGCGGTCGCCATTTTCCCGTCAAATCAAGACCGTATCGTCTTTATGGTTATAGAAGAATTAGATAGTCCTATCTGTTTAGTTAGCGATAACAGGTCAGTAACTTCAATTGGAATGTGAAAAATACAAGTGTTGACCCAGACCCTTATGTTTACTTTTAAATGGGAAAGAATGCTTTTTGTTTTAATATAACGCAGAAGTTTAAATTTAATTGTAAGTCAATAAACATTTTCTTTATTACAATCCATTTTTTTTTTTGAAATATGGTCATGTCCATTTGTGACCTGCGAATCGATATGTACAGTTATCGAAGTTAAAGAGTCACTTCCGTTGGATGCTCATTTCCTAGATCTGGCTTTTTGGTAATTTGTTTCTACTTTCCACTTCCCCCTTCTTTTACCAAGAGTAGATCCCACTTTGTTTACTCCCTATACACCCCACGTTTCCGGTTTTGTTTACTAACTATGTCGCACGTGCACATCCCCAATTTTTTTTTACCTCACCCTCTACTATAGTCCACATGCCAAAAGCCAGTCACGCCCTCCACCTTGATGAGAGGCATCAGAGTTTAGATTCTATTAGCAAACGTCGGCTTCAATTATAAATGTTAGCATCCATTATATTGTAGTTTGGATAACATTGCATCATGTTAATTGCAAAGTTGTAGCTGTTATATATTACGCTGTACAAGTAGAAGCTTTTATAAAAAGCTAAACAAACTTTTGCATTTTCTAGATAGCCTGCAAATGCAAAAGCAATCAGAATGTTTAAATAGATTGTGATATCAAAGCTGATTATACACAAAATTGTTTCCGGCATGCATAACACAATAAGGAAAACATTTTTTAGGCTTAATTTTCCCATTTGGAATGATGAATTATAGAAACCTTGGAAGGTCAGGTTATTTTTAAATCGTTTGCATGTTCAACTTCTTTTCATTTCGATATAGATTTGATTCTGCTATCAATCCATTTTTTTTCACTAGACATTTTTTATTGATTTACTTTTAGTTTGTTTGTTTCTCCATTTATCCGTACAGTTGAAGTATTGCTCTTTCGAAAACATTGTTTGTGTTTGGTTTGGATTTTGTGTTTTTTTCTCCATTTTATTTATTTTGTGAGAAAACACTACTCGTAAAAAAGTATAATAATCATTTACTATCAAAAACATAGCACATTCATGTATTTATGTAAGCTAACAGTTGTCCTTTTTCATTCGTTGCTGGGTTACTGTCCCACTGACTAATACCCCCTGAATTCCATGAAAAATTATATATTCTTAAGTAATTGTTTTTTAAATGAAGTTATATACAAAACATAAGAAGACGTGGTATGATTGTCAATGAGATAACTCTCCACCAGAGACCAAATGAGCTAGAAGTTAGCAACTATAGGTCATCGTACGGCCTTCCAAAATGACTAAAACCTATACCGCATAGCAAGCTATAAATTGCTTCGAAATGATAAATGTGAAACAAATTTAAACGAGAAAACTAACGGCCTTATTCTTAAGTACAAAACAATAACCACAAAACAAATATGATATACAGCAACAAACGACAACAACTGAATTAAAGGCTCCTGACTTGGGACAGACATATACAGAATATGGTTGGGTTA